AATTCTCTACGTATATAATATACAAAATATAGACAGAACTTAATTGTACAAAATTCTATACTTTACTTAATATTACAAACTGTTCAAAAATATAGAATCTCGCAAACTACCATGCAGAACTTGTATAGGTTTATTTGTATAGAATGCACATTAATTACATCCATTGTCAACTTTAATTTGAATTGTTTGAAAAAAAAATATTGGGCAGATGTATATATACGTTAGACAATTTCGAATTAAAATTCAAAAATACCAAATGAACAGAGGTTTTATGGCTGTTCCCCTGGTCTTCATTCTGGGAGTTGCATGCCTATAAGTCTTCTAGAATGGCGGACTTTTGACTGCCTAACAGACAGTGACAGTGGCAAATATTACTTTCATATTCAGGACAATTTTCAAAATGAATATCTAATCTGAATCACACAGCAATATATCAAGACGCGTCTTGTGTCGACATTTCAGCTTTTCTTTTACTTTGCTTTGAATGAGTTTTGGGGAAATCGTATAAAGCTTAGATCATTTTATTAATTAGACAAGTCATAGTACACGCGAACACGTTATATAAATTAACTCGAGGAACTATGTGTGTACAAGTTTAAATGTTTTTGAATTAAATTCATTTAACAACGTCAGAGTACAAGATATCAAATTAGTTAAAGTTGATTCTTGTTACTGGATAAAATTGTTGATGTAAATTTATATCAAAGATATAGCTACTATACAGTCAATTAAATTTGAATGAGTACTCTCCTGTTGAATGAGAATAAACCGATCTTTTAAAAATTAATTATATGTTCAATGATAAAAATTAACAGATAGGCACTCTATTGAAGCATAGAAGAATCGCACAGCAAAGAAGTCAATATTTACACGTTAAGGTTTTCTATAATTTTTATACTGGGATATTTGCTTTAACAGATACATGAATAGAAATCTATACTTTGGAAAATATCTTCAATTCTGACAAAAAGTTTAGCCAGTACATCGGTAAAGCAAAAAAGTTTGAAAAGTCACGTTCGATCAATTTAAGGGGAGTAGCTGTGAATTATACTGCTTTCTAAATTCAAGTTTTGAAAGGTTTAAATTGGTTAAATACACGTTTCTTTCTTTTCGAGGTAGTAAACAGTTTTTCTTCGTGTATATTTTAATTTTACTTGAAATGATAGTTCTTTTTGAAATATTCTAATTAAATAATTCAGAAATTGAATATACGACAAACAAATCTTTACAACGCTGAGAAGGTGACCCATTTCCATTTTTTTGGAGTAGGAAAGAGAACAATTTCAATTAATACAGTCAAAATGTGAATATGTGTATTTAAAAACTAGAAATTTCATATTGGTAGCCTAGTTTGAACGGCTTTGTACAAAGTTTATTTAAAACTAAGCTCTGTTCTCCATGTATTTCAATTGCAAGAATATTATGGGTTTTTCACACAAAAAAAAAACCTACGAACAGACGCGCTCCCTCCCCAATAAGTCTGCATGCTAGCGAAAAATCTACAATAATTGCGCTAGAGATGTTTTACTTTATACGTCATCGTTATCAGAAACGATTGAATAAGACACAAAAAGATTATGAACGTAGCATATATCTTGACCGTCCTTTTATTCGTACACACAAGGATAGTACCCGAACAGAGGTTGGAACAAATGCATACTATTCAAATAAAGCATGACAACATTTTTGTAATTCTTTTGACAAGTTGCTTTTCGGGTTCGTAAGAAAAATGTTACATAATTTTTCTATATCAGATAAACGATTTAAGAAATATTTCTTATGAACAATTATTTTTGTCATTTTCGTTGTTAATAGGTAGACGGACCTGATTAGAGAATGCGTCAAAGATTTCTATCCATACGCGAGAAAATAATCATTATCCAGCAATCTAAACAGAGCTTTGATGTACTGGAAACTCGATTTTTATCGCAATTTCTCGCTTCTGATAGAACTATTATGGTTGTAATTCAATTCATCACTGGGACAAATTATTACGTCCCACTTGCCCTAAGCGGACACTTAATTACCCCATTAACGGCCAAATTTGAAAAGACATGGGTGATACTTTTGACACTTATTTTGAAAGTAAGTCTTGTAAGTGGTCACCTAAGGTGGTATTACAGCCAGTAATTAAAACAGACGTAAACCGATCAAAATCCACGATATTGTTAAACACCCTCCTTCCATTCATACCTGACCAAAAACCGATTAGTATGATCTCACCTATGTAGGGAGGTTTATTTTGCAATTAAAGCAGGTGTGATAAGCCCATTACCCGGACTAAAAATACGACTTTCCTAATTGTGTAATAATCCCTCAACCCTTCACATTTTTCTCTTTATTTATGCTTTCAGTTTGAACATTTAATAATAATCCTAAACTCATTAAAAATCTGCGATTTATATTTGAGATTAATGTCAAATTTACCCTATGCAATTATTCTCTATTATACTAAAAATATAACTTATGCTTCATATGCAAAGTAGAAAAAAGAAAGTGTTTAATTCCTTAATACTATAGAAAGTGAGAAAAGCCACTTGATGTAGTTATCTAAACATAAGCGAAGAAGTTATGCGGTTAGAAAATAAACTAAATCGAAGAAGTAAGAAACAAGAATAGAACACCTGCATGTTACACTTCAAAGTAGTCGAACATATACTTTTAAACTGGTAAAATATTACAAGGTATTAAGAGAACCTAGAAGAGTTTATTTTTATTTCACCTATAAGAACTGACAAGCTTAAGTCTCGATTCCTATTAAAGACAAATTTCCCTGTAGTAATTTGAAAACGAGAAATTCCGGTATATTTCTAGAGCGTTTTTTCCCATAGGTATGACTGCACGTGCATGGTGCTTTTGATCGCTTATCTAACATATTATAAGTCGGATATGCAGAACTGAATGAAGTTTGCTGGTATTTGTCAAAATGTTTATGCAGAATTCTACACAGAAAAAAAAGAAGCAAAGAATATATCGCATAAGTTTTGTAAAATCAAAAGTTTTTGTGTGACATGTCGCGAGCAACTAAATGACACAACTTATCCATGAGTTACTATTATTACATTCCAATCATTTTTATCTCAATTAAAATATGAGTAAATTTAAACAATAAGTGTATGCCTGTATTGTCTTAAACAGTTGTGTGTTTCGTATATATTCGTATAATTTCTGACTGTTTAAAATCGTTGAAATACAATAATATATATAATATAAGTTTTGAAATATTATGAATTTTATCCGCTTCTACAAATAAAGTCTATGCAAGGGGAAATATAGAGAATAACATCAACATTTTTTAGCCAAGGCATCCATCGCGATGGTCGAATATTATTGTCTTACATAAGATATAAAATACAAGTAAACCCGTACAAATCCTTAAATATCGCAAAGATAATGAGAAATTAAACACCATTTATTGAACATTATTAGGATTATATTTCAATGTGTTCATAAATGTTCATTGAACGCTTCAAACCATTTTATATTTTTATTAGGGTAATTGTTTTGGAACATGCAAAAATGAATCAGCGAAAATAATTTTATAATTTTGTTGAGCATGACACAATATCAGGCGATTAAAAGACACATAATAACAAAGATATTTACATAAATGTGAAATGAGATCCAAAATTTTTTCAACATCTTCAAAGTTCTTTTAATAGGGCACATGCTTGAAATTTTTAATTTGACCTTCTCTTTTAGAATAAAAGCATAAGTGTTTCAATAAACTCTTTATTCTTAACCTTCTTCCCCCAAAATTAACTACAGGTTAAAAAAGAATATGCATTTCATTTAGGAAATTTACATGCACGCTAGCTTTAAACTTGCGCACGGTGGTAAAGTTCACATCTCGGGGACAATAAAGAATAAAAATTGACTTGTGTTTATGGTCTACATAATGTCTAAACAACCATTAAATATTTATGACCTGTTTAAAATGGACATAAATTTCTCTTGAATGTCTTTCAGAGATTCAATTTAGCTTTATAGGTGGTATATAGACAATACTTTGTGTACTGCATATCAAAGTCTGCACACGTGGCATCAACCAAGTATTAAACATCTTCGTAATGTTCAACATGCATTCTCAACGATTAAGAGTTAATGACATTTGAATTGTTAAGAATTTATCTATACTTTGCAAATTGATATCAATAATGGGAATCTTAATATATTTCTTTTATATACTTTATTAGAAATTTATGGAAATATTTATAATTTGAAAATGTAAATGTACACCAAAATTAGCATACAATCAAACAGTTGTAAAAAAGTAATAAAAAGCATAAAATTGAAAAATGTGTATCCACCAAAAGGAATGGAATTTCCCAGCACCTGCTCAGACCATCAAAAATTATTTATTTTTTTTATATTTTTTAACCTTAAAACAAATGTTAATTTCAGTCAGATATTAAGAATTTTACGTAGTACGAAAGTGATATATTGTATTTATTAAGTACGTTAAACAGTGGGTTTTCGGATACCATTTCTACTCTGCAACCTATCTTAGCTTTAATGTATTCCTTATCTTTGTATCGGCATAAATCTATCGTTGTTGCATTAAAATATCATCACTATTTCAAACTTTTTTGAAAGACTAATACATTATATTGTAATAAAATATTGCTCAAAAAATTATTTTGCTAGTTAAGACGGAATTATCTAAATAGGTACATTTATCAACGGAAAATTCATGCAATAAATCGAAGAAAAAAAACGTTGTTTGTCCATGATAATCGTCTACGAATCCTCCCATTATAAGTCTGATGGTAAACAAGCCGCAGTTTTAAGATTGCCAATGGATTGGAGGTCTCAAGATACAAAAGTTATGGAGAAACCAAGATTTAACAAAAATACCAGGTTTCTCGTTTATATATGCAGGAATAGTATTTCTATATTTTAAACCAAATGTATTTACCTACACTCAAATAGTTAAAAATGATGACATAATTTGCTAAAGAGATACTGGAAAAAAATAATTACAAGTTATTTGTACTTACCGACACATTCGTTTGCGATTCTGCTGGTAGCACGTGCCCATGGCCTGTCAAAATGGAACGGTTTACATTTTTCACATTCCGATCCTGCAGTATTATGTTTACAATCGCACACAAATTGACCCTCACGATTTGTTATGCAGCGAGATGCATGACCGTTGCACTTGCACCTGCCTCCCACGGCAAAATCCGACAAAGCATAATAATAACTTTCCCGCGCTGATTCGTCGTCATGTTCGTCTCCGTATGTATTTAGTCTATTAAACACTACCATGATGTCTGTCGCTGTCACCCAGTCTTGTAAAATAGGACTGTTGTCGAAATCGTACGCTGATGGCCGTTTTTCCAGGGTACTAAAGGCAACCCGAGCCCCAGTCAAGGGTTCAATATTGCTAAATTCCTCAGTACATAACGCATCTTGTTCGTTAGCTTTTGTTACTAATGCTCTTGGAGATTTGGAATACATTTTCTTACAGTTACTAGAATAATATTGGAATGGTACCCAGGTTTTTCCGTAATCCATACTTTTGTAAAGTGCCATGGAATCCGGTCTTGCAGAACAAAATTGCAAACTTATATATGTTATTTCATATTTTTTCCCCAAAGATAATTTTAAAGTTACATTTTGAGGATACTGAACGTACGTGTTTGACATCCAACATGTTAAATTGTTAGGATTATTCAGATCTGTTAAGTACGATGGCGGATGCATACGTTTTGGATGATTCGCATCACAAATAAAACAGTTCCGGACAACTCTACCATCTTTGTCCGTAGTTGATTTACAAAATCGAGTTGGCGGTGAACCGCACATACTTGAGGCTGTAACATCCTTTCCAAAGGCTGCATTAACAAAGTCTGGAGTACACAATGTAGGTTCACCTCGCTCATTATAACAAGGATCTGGTGGAGTATTTTGAATTTCAAACATATTCATATATGATCCTGTTAAAACATTCCGCAAACATACACAAAACAGTATTAACAATATTTTAAACATTTTTGAAACTAGTCTGGAAGCTCGGAATACCCATAATCTCATTTTGATAAAAAATAATCCACAAGCAAACGAAACTTCTGAAAATTATCGGAGCTTTTACATTGTATTTTAAAATTTATGTTTCATATACAACACAAGTCGATTATTAAAATTTGTAGTATTATGATTCTCTCACTTTACCACACATTGGTTAAATAAACAATTTAGCATTTTGTTAATAGTTTCTCGCTCAATATCATCTTATCATCTCCTCTATCAGCGTAAATCCATCACTTTATTACTGTCAGAGTTAGTTGTCTATAGTCAAAAGATATTCCGAAGCTACGAGAGTTCAGAGACAACTCAATAACATATATACCGAGTCCACTCGTATAAATGGCGACTTACAATTTTTCTGCTCAAGAAGTGAATTCAAGAAACATTTTTCTTCTCTCTAATCATATTGAAATTCCATTAATACGAATCTTAATCTATAGGGCAGGTAGTACTCGCAAATTCAACAGTAAGAATAGCTCTCCATGATTGGACACGCCTACAATGTTATCAATCAACAGCTATAAATAATTCTTTTGGCTATTGTAACTTATGACTCCGCCTACCTTTGTATTCAGTTAATTCATCATTGGTTACTAATTAAGACTTATTCACATTGTTACAAAGGTGTTAAAAGATAATTTAACCATTGATAAGAAATAGATAAGCAAAAAACGTGAAAGTTTGGATGAATTCCAGAAAAAAACTAACAGAACGACAAAACCTTTTACTAAGCAGTGATTCGAAGCAACTGTATCTTCTAAAATTTCAAATTAAAATCTTCCTTTTCTTGCATTGATACGAGTTTAAAGTTGAAGCGGAAAAGGCATCATATTTCAACGTTTTAAATCATGTTATATCTGAACATATTATCTTATGTTTGTTTTTGTCAGTGGCGATAACATGTAACTAGAGATATATAATAAGGAATAGAATATGTGTACGCTGATTTAGCTCACTAAAGAATATATTATAACAAACCTTGTCTCGTTTTCAGATTCCATATTGCTATGGTGTTCGAATTAAGGGCGGAAAGAATTTACTTAAGTTTTTGAAGGAATGTTCAGTGATACGACTTAAAGGAATTCCGTCAGGATGATGACAAGTAAAAGGAGAAAAATATTCCAAATTATTATATAGTTTTTACAACTTTAAATAAAAATTTAAAATGAAAATTAAATCGATTATCAGAATCAATTACAATACATATTTAATGTTAGTAGTTTAGAAAATATTCGCTAAAACGGTTATGATTAACCTAATTTGCATGAAATACAAGTTAAATAATCATGTTAATTTTAAGAACTTTCTATATTTGTAACATGATTTTTTCGACAAAAAATGGTATCATATAACACGATTTAAAGAAATTTCCATTAAAGTGAGAACGCAATGGATGAATACTGTAAGTGGAAATGAAACAGTATATGTTATGGGTAAATATGGGTATTTGTCGCTCCTGTTGCGTAGGAAATTTGCGTCCATGTGTATTCGGATTAATAGTTGAACAGTTACTGACCAAGCTATCAATGAAACTTAGGTCATAAAATTATCATCTCACGATACACACAATGATCTAACAAAAGAAAAGAAAACTGTTAATGTTATGACGTTTTCAACATCTAATTCGTGTTGTAATTAAGTCAAGAGAGAAGATCAAATGCAAAACAATTAATAATATTATAACTCATTACACTTACACCAAATACAAGCATTGTATACCCTAAAATCACGAGATGGCTAAAAACTTAACACAACTTATTAAAGAAATAAATGAAGTTCCTTGCCATTATCAATATGTTATATAATTGTTTGTCTTGATTTTCTAACTATGTAAACTGTCACGAGTGTTCAATAAGTTACATTAAGTAAAAGGTAGGTAAACCAAAACAAAGCAATCATATATCATACACAATTACTATTGATAAAAATATACAAAATCGAGACTTGAAACAGAGAAGAAAAAACTAATTTTTCATAATTTTTCAAGTCCGATCGATCCAATGGACGTTGTTAAATTTTAAAAATGGAAAATAGAACGCAAACAGAGAAGAAAAAACTTCCTTTACATAAATTTTCAAGTCCGATCGATCCAATGGACGTTGTTCAATTTAAAAAAATGGAAAATGGAACGCAACATTCAGAAATACAATACATGTAATTTATAAATTTTCATTACACAATTATAACCAACTATCAGTTCGATATATATGCAAAGAAGACTGACAAGAGAGGAAACAATCTGATATTTTCGAAATTTCTTAATCCAAGGGTCATTTTTGAGTCACAAGTTTGTCGACTGGAAAAATAATAACCTGCAATCCTTACCTATATTTTGAAACAATAATACATGTAAATATAGAAAATAAAAAATTGGGTCAAAGTCTCAAAATGAACTTTGTAATATCCAACACCAAACACAAAAGACATATATAGATGTAAAATTTGTTTGAAGAAATTTCACACTCACTTCTAGACCCATTTCACAATTTATGAACTGTAAATTTAAGTCAAAAGTCGTATACAATTCACAACTTTGATACGGTTGACTAGAATATGTTTTAATATAGCTGACTTGCATGAACTTAATATTGTTTTAATACAAAAGTTTACCGGGTCACAGATACAAAGCACAGACTGTTGAGTTCCTTAATAAAATACAGTCGTCAGTAACAACATCTTTTTTTGTAAATACGATGTTTTTCGTAAAAAAGTAATATTCAACGACTTTCAATTGTTAAGGAGTAAATTGAATAACAATATATTAAGCATCGAAATGTTTATATATCTTTCAACAGCGATGGCTACAGACGAAATAAACTAACTTATTCCGTTAACACGATTCTATCTTTCGATTGTCTAACGAATAAATTTACTTGCTTCTCACAAATACGGGATGCCGATTCAATTAAATTTTAAGGGGAGGTTTCATCAAACCTGTATGGAGTGTTGTCTGCTTTTTGGTTTGTTGCGTATGTATGTAGCATTTATTTATCCAACCAATAGTCCTGGCTACCTTGGCTAGTTTGCTGCATAGTAGCAAGAATATTTCAACCCTGCTTCCAAAATTATGTGTCCGCGTTTAAGTTGGTAGCTGGGTTGTGCGACAGGTTTTATTTTCTATGTTTTACTTTTACAACACATGGTCTAGACAAGGAAGACTGAATAAAACCCACATACTATGTTTGGACCAACTCAGGCTATCTGACCATGCGTATTTCGTTGTTGTTATGCGAGTTGTTTCTAACTTTTTTTTTTCGAGCAGCATTTTTCAAATGTGATCAGTTTTCAGAAGAAAATACAAGGCTTACCTAAAAAAAAAAAGAACTATGATCTGTAAATACCACTCCTGCACCAGAATCACAAAAATTAATCCACATTTCAACTCGTCAATAACCAGCTCGAACGCTCGTCTTTCTTAAAATTGTTATTCACCATTCTTGGTCAGTTAATTCAAAACATATATACATGTATGTAAGGACATATGTCAGACTTTTCACAATCTGAATTTTTATTTGTGACGTGGAAACATGGTATTATTGCTACTTAATACGAGATGGACACAGAGATTTAGTAACCTATAAATTATTAATATTTGAATAAACATACATGTAGTAATATGGCTTTTTTTCAAACATTTCGCTTATTTGATTTATTCTTTTTAGTTGTGCATAAAGTCGCCATTGAAGTGCATCTAGCAATTTATGTTTCTATAACAAGCGCATGCACATACATAGAGTCTCAACTTTAATTAATAAACAGCTACAAATGTATCATCAAATTCCGTTTAAGCTCTTGTGGGATGTTAATACACGATTTACTTCATACAACTACGTGTATTTAGCATTCCTCAATTTGGTCTCGACTGTACCTCATTACACCGACGCACCCAGTCCCACGCGGTTTTTTGCTGGTCGACCTAGCAGTAGTTAGTGCTTCGGTAAATATTACATTTTGATATTAAATTTAAATTTTAGAATAATCATGACTAAAACCCATTGACAAAATTGGCTGTTCTTTTTTTAGGCTTTTTTGAGTTTCAAACGATTATGCTTTTGTCTTCTCCTACTGATGCTATCTATTTTCTGTCTATATATCTGGGTGGATCTTATAAAATGATTATAAAAGTACAATACAAAATATATATTTATATTATTTGACCCGTATTTTAAACTGATTTTCCGAATCCAATGGCTTCTTCAAATTTCATCTATACATTTTTTTCTAATAAAGAAACTTTAAAAGCCCAATACGTAATTTCTTTTCCAATGATAACAATTTTAGGTGTCCCACCCATTCATACAAATATCTTCGGGTGTTAATTAATTATATTCTATTATATTCTATTATATTCACATAATATTTGAATGATCTCAAATAATTACATCATTGTTATTTTTACAAGGTGTGAATATGATGACAATCAAAATGACTCCAAGTCATTAAGATAGTATCAATTTTCAGTGACTTGTAGAAATTGTCATCTGAATATGTTTGTAAACAACTACTCATCATTGAGTACAACTATTCTGTGATATATACATACGTTTTGATTTCACATATTCACTTGAATTCATATTTCGGTTTGAAAAAAAGGTGAATGAAAGTACCACAGTATACGATGTTAAATATGCAACATAAAAGCTAATTTTCAAAAATTACACATTGTGATCTATGACTGTCCTTAGACGTCTTTCATTTTTTCATATAAATTCCTCTCTGAAACCTTTTGGTCTCGCCATTACCACCAAATAACCCCAATTATCCTTGCTAGAAAGAAAAACGATAGTGTTAAAATTTTGATTATATTTAAAAAATAAACATTAAATCATGGCCGCCATGAATATATGTTTAAATAAAAAAAGTTTAGGTATTTCGAGCTTTTATGTTTGAATAGTACAAATTAAAAAATGTATATACAAAAGTGTATTTATCCCCAGTAACTAGTAACGATTTTTGATAGTCTTTGCTGTTAAGCAATGTTCCATTTTTATTCACAATCAGTTTGATATTTTTTTTCATATTTCTTCAATTTGAATATCTACAATGTTACAGAATTCGTTTTACAAGGGGATGTGTAGAAAATAATTGTGGTAAAGTGGAAACATTTGTGTACCTTAATGAATTTAATAGGAAAATGTGTGGTTCATGAAAAAATTACCAACTGTCCAGAAACGTCTTTAATGCTCTTTTAAATCTTGTTATGGGTGTGTGAGTGATTAATACATGTCTGCTTAACGCCAAGTTCAAAATATTTCGTGCATGTTCAGGATCAAGTTAGCAAAACATATTAGATATAGGTACTTTATATTTAGTTGACTTGGATGAAGGGTAAGAATTTCGACTGCCACTCGAAATGAGTTGTAATGGACAAAAACAGAAACTTTGCCTCGCAAAAGGCCACATACGGAGTCTTGTAAGCGTTTTATACGAGGCGTAGCAGATTCAGCATTCCTATTACGAGTAGACGTGACTGCGTATTTAT